GTCCTCACTCTGAGCATCATGATTTAGAATGATCTCATCGCCACAGTGACTCGTTTACTCACCCTAAATTTAAGCTTCTTTTCTCTCCCTTTTTGTCTTTTTAATAGGCTTAAACAAAATGGCTATCCGTCTCTGACTTCAGTGATTCCTGTCATCAACCAGTCAGGCATTTTCCTCATTTCTCATCATCACTGTATGATATCAACCTTGCACAATTCTTGGCCAATGGCCATATTAATTTTCTACTTGAAAGAACACAAATAGAATACTGCTTATGACGAAGGTAGGAGGGGGAGCTTGGGGAATAGCTGTTAGTCTTGATGCATAGCAATTAGCTTTGCAAATAGAAACAGTAACATGATTGGACCTGATACCTAGCCAAACTGCCAAAGGGGGGAAAAATCATTCTGTTGGGGGTCCTGAGTGACTTTTTAAATAGTGGCTACATTTGCCTTTTTGGAAATGGTATGAGCAGTGTGACATCAGAGATCTTCAGTTTCCATGGTGACTATTAGTGATGGCATTTCAAATGTTGTGGTTAGGTTCCACTGTATCCCATGAGAGAGGGAAGAGAAAGAACTGCTTCATTTTAACATTTTTATTATTATTATTTTTTAAATATATTTTATTGAATTTTTACAGAGAAGAAGGGAGAGGGATAGAGAGTTAGAAACATCGATGAGAGAAACATCGATCAGCTGCCTCCTGCACATCTCCTACTGGGGATGTGCCCGCAACCCAGGTACATGCCCTTGACCGGAATCGAACCTGGGACCTTTCAGTCCACAAGCTGACGCTCTATCCACTGAGCCAAACTGGTTCGGCAATTTTAACATTTTTAAAGGAAAGAATGCTGATCATCCAAATAGATACGATCTGTTCATCTTAAACATGTGGGCTGATAGAAGCTACACGAGTAAGTTGGTGAGAGATACTAAAGCACTTGGACTTGACAGGGACTAATTAACTGCTTAGGTATTTAGCAGCAATTAACTGTCATTTTCCGTCTACACATTATTTTATAAAGTGGTTGTTCTTATACCATGGATTTACCCACTTTTTATGTGTAGGCAAGTAGTGTAAGTTGGGAGAAAAACTTAGCCTCCCGCTATAGTTAAGGACAATCTCTAGGGTGAAGATGGAGAGCTGTCCAGCCCAATATGACATCCCTCACAGGCAGGCAGCAGTGCGCACTTCTCTCTGCCCGCTCAGCCCTGGGTCCCTTGCACATAGGAGACTTAAAAAATACACTTAGTGATTTTGATGTCGATGAAGCTAAACATTTCATTTTTGCTTTGTTTAATTTCCCATTTAGAGTTGATGGTTAACTTTAAAACACCCAGCTTACTTACGAAGAATTACATGTAGTTAAAAAAAATAGAATAAGCAAAAGTCTAAGAAAGTGCTTCATTTCACTCCGATAAACAAGGAAGTTTTTAATTTTCTCATGTAGCTGTAAAATTAATCTTTAAAAAAAGATAAATCAGTTATAAACTTTATATAATACCAATTATTCTTTTTTTCTATTAAAAATTGTTTTTTTATCTGTTACTTCAATATATTTTGTTTATAGAAGGTATATACTAGTTTTTCTGACTAGATGTAAATCAGATCTACTGTGTAGTTAATATTTTCTAGAGGCAGAATCAAAGATTACAAATCTAAGTAACGGAAAAAATCTGCTGGCATGATGAAGGGAAGTCGTAATGAATCAGAATGTAATTTAAAAACAAATTCTACATAAACGCATTCTTACAGTCAGAGTAACCAGAATGATAAATAAGCTGCTTCTCTCTGACTCAAGCTACCAGTTACGTAGGGACAGAATATTTAGGCCATCACTGGGTTAGAGTGTTACAAAAGCCCAGAACAAGAATGGATATACACATTGATGACAAAGTCAGAAAAAAAAGTAGGACATTTAGGTCACAAAGTACCATCAGTCGTGATGAAGTTAACAGGCATCCACAAATCACTGATAGGACTAAGCCACCTAAGGTAAACTTTATTTTTATCATCACATACCCAATCCACAATGAGACTGAGATCAGTTACTGATGAAATTAAAGGGTATCCTACCACAGTTTCAGAAAAGAATCTACTTAAAATGTAAATGTAAAACAACTGGCCCTGTGGAGAACTTAAATTAAGACACTAAGGGGCAGAATTCCAGACTGTTAAAAGATAACGTGACCCACATGTTTTTAGTAAGAAAATAAAGGTCCATGAAGATCAAGTGAAATTATCCAAGATCACAATAGCTACTGTCCATGCAGAAATGGAATCATAATCATACCCTGCCTAAGTGTCTCTTCTTATGTACTACCTCTAATAGCGTATTGTGAATGAATGCAGCACACAAATACCAGACACCTGCATTCTAAGAATCAACTTATAAAAACCAATTAAAACAAACACACACACACACACCACTGTACTTAAATTATGTAAAAGTGTATGACTAAGCAGTATACCTAAAAACAATACAAAATAAAATTGAAAGTAAACTGTTAAAAAAAAAAGGACCAAAGTCAAAATGAACAAACATGGAAGGAAAAAAAACAACAACATAAAAAACATGTGAAAACAAACACTTTAAATCTGCCTTCCTTGAAGTTCTGAATAATGGACATCTCAGATGTCTGATTCAGAAATTTTTTTTTTTAAATATATTTTATTGAGTTTTTACAGAGAGAAAGGGAGAGAGGTAGAGAGTCAGAAACATCGACGAGAGAGAAACATCGATCAGCTGCCTCCTGCACACTCCCTACTGGGGATGTGCCCGCAACCCAGGTACATGCCCTTGACCGGAATCGAACCTGGGACCTTCCAGTCCGCAGGCCGATGCTCTATCCACTGAGCCAAACCGGTTTCGGCCTGATTCAGAAATTTAAACAGAACAGTAACATATTAGTAAATTAGATATCAAATGCATCAGACACAGACAGAAGTCCTAGCTTTTTCATTTGAAGGGTGACCAGATTTTGAGTCAAACAGAAAGTCAAAGCCCTACGTGGTTTTCCCAAAAGCAAGCAATGTGGGGCGTACAGGCCACAGTGACAGAAGTACCACTTTCTTCCTCCCACAGAACTCACTTAGTTCTTCCAGGGCTGTTCCTCAGGCCAGAAACCCACTGACCAAAAGAAACCCCCGTACGGAAATCTAGCAGTTCCTATTGTAGGAGCCGATAAGGAGAAAGGCTCTTCCCTGTTATTCTAAAAAGTCTACAAGCAGATGATCTGAAATTGAGCTATTATTTAGATTATGATAAAAAGCTAGAAAGAGTACAGATGCTGATTTCCATTATCTGCTCATAAAAAGCAGAAACTGAGGCTCTTATGGGCAACTGAATGTGACCTCAGGCAATGCATGTATTATTTCCAAAAAGAGAGATATCATGAAGCCAAATGAAATAACACGCAGAAGTGATAGAGTACCGATGCTCTCAGTTTCAAGACTGATTAGGTTTCCCACAGATACCAGAAAATCATGTAATTGCGTATCAGCCTTTGAGAGTGCAGGCACGGCCAGTGTCACAGGCAGTACCCTTACCTTAATGATCTGGAAGAGGATATTACATTTGGACGAGAATACTAAAACCCTGCTACTCAAAGTGCAGTCTGAAAAGAATCAGCTTGGGTGTCACTGGGAGCTGGTTAGAAATGCTGGCTCTCAGGCCCCACTGCAGACCTAATGAGTTAAAATCTGCATTTTAACAAAATCTCCAGGTGATTCACGAGCACATGAAAGCATGAGTGCTATACTGCAGACACTGACAGTGCTCCGGAAAAGAGGCCACTGAAATTTCAGATGATCGCTGCCCTTCAGATGCATGTGGAGAATGAGCTCTGCGTAGGTTTGGCCTTTTCCTGGTACCACCAGGAAAGGCTGACTTCTGGTCAACTACAGATTAAACCGTTGAGAGGTAATCATTTATCATCACATATATCAGTATCAATCATGTGAGCCTCATTTAGTTCATTTAGCTCCCTCTTCTTTAGTGGGATTAAAGATAACAGAAAAAAATTTATAAAGCTAGCCATGTTAAGAAGTGCTTTATTAATCTGTCTGGATAATGCCAAAAACCATGGCCAGAATAAATGATTAAGTGAGCCTGGGTCATTACATTTCCATAATTATAATCATTAAAAGTTAGGCAAAGGTATTGACTTACTGATGGGCAACAACTTACTAATTAAAAAAGAAAAATCTCATTTCAACTTTCATTTTCAGAGAAAAGAATATTTTCTTAAAAGGAAATAATCTGCCTTTAGAATGTAGTCATCTATAAGAAAACAAACACTAGAAGAAAAATAACCTACATTTTGATCATGGCTTTCACCATGTCAGCTTCTTAATGGCAACAGCAATTTGTGTAGGGATACAATACCAAGAAGCAAGCGTGAAAGGGCGCTACATTACTCTGTCCCACTCATCTACAATGTCCTTTTCATGCCCCTTCCCCATTACCTGCTGTCCTAGATCAGGAATGGAGAATCCACACAGGGCAAGCGCTTCCCCAAGAGCAAAGTCACTGCGAACGGTATTTACGGAGCAGGAAACTCTGCCTTTAAACATCTTGTACTGGCAACTGAGATTCTATTTTAATTTCCTGAACAACAATATTGATAATCTCCACATTGATTTACATTTTTCTTGGATCCATATCATCACAATTCATTTTCCCAAAGTAACTGGGCACAAAGCACAAGAGAGGAGATGAACACGATGACTAGGGTGACAGACAGCGAGGAAGACAGCACACAGACTACCGGTCTTGCCACTCAGAGACGGGTTGCTTCTGAACGCTCTATTCCAGCAAACTGCTTATAGGAGTTTTCTTTGTGTTTAAGCACAGGTATTTCACTATTCAGTTCTGTCCCATTTTGAACATAAACAGCCACAAAAGAGACCTGGGGTAGTTTTAATTGTGGTACCAAGTTAAAAATGTGAATGAGTCATGAACTTTGCCGTCAACCCCCCTCCCCCCCGCCGCTTACCTGATATAACAGCTATTTTCCCAGACCCATGTTCTTCTCTAGCTATTCTTTCTGCTTCCTCCATCAGCAGCATGCCAAATCCCTATAAGGAGCAATAAAGAGGGTGAGAGAATTAAGGAGAAAAGAAGTCATTAAGGGAATCTATAAAACAAGAAGGCTAATATTTAGTACTTGCTAAATCTGTTAAAATAAGAGTGACAAAAAGAAACCCATTTATGAAAGTAAGGAAAGAGAAATCTTTTAATTATACTGAAAGTACACTACAGCAGGCTAGTGGGGGGGGGGGGGGATAAAAAAGGAATAACTTTGCAACAAAAGCCAACAGGTATTTTGTAGCTGATGTAATCTACTCACAGCAAGGGGGTAACTGCCTTCACTTCTTTCTCTTTTTGAACAAGTTCTAGGCCATTTCAAGGTGATGAAGTCTAGGGCATCTAACCTGTATTTATTAGTCACCCCTCCAATTTCAAAACTGCCAGGTAATATTCTTAAAAAGAAAAAAGATTTTAGAGAGACGGGAAGTGGGAGAGAGGAGGAGAGAGGGAGGGAGGTGGAGATAGAGAAACACTGATTTGCTGTTCCACTTATTTATGCATTCAACGGTTGATTCTTATATGTGCTCTGACTGGGGATGGAACCCACAGCCTTGGTGTATCAGGATAATGCTCTAACCAACTGAGCTACCTGGCCAGGGCCCCAGGCAATATTCTTAATTCACTAATTTTGGAGTCTATGCTAAATCTACCACTAGTGTCTTTAACCTATTTTCCTAAAACTTAAAAAGTCAGTTTTTTATTTATTTAAGTTGTTTGGGGGGAGTGGAACAGTGTTCCAATATATATCATATAACTCGCATTTATGAAGTGCTTTAATACTTCTTAAGTGCTTCCACATTATCATCTCCTTTGATGCCATAATAGTGGATCATTCAAAACTGCCGGGATTGGACCATTTCTGACTTTTCAAAAACAGCAATTTCATATCATTCAACCTAGTATTATATTCCACTTGCCTGAGTCTCACTTTGTCTCTTCCTCCTCCCCCCTCATACCCAAAAGTGGGCAATTTGAAGAGAAAACATCTCTGAACAACTAAAATATTGGTTCCTATGTTTCTATACTTCCCTTTCACCTTTCTCTGTGTCTTTCTCCCATTCCATTTTTCTTTCCCTCCTTGGGGGAATTTCTTAAATAATTATGGTCAAATAGAAATGAAATACAGGATACCTGATGCTGAAACTTAGTAGGATCCCGACTGCTCACAGGGACTACACTCCCGTACACATGCAGCTCTCGGACTATGGAGACACCTCCAACCAACTCAAAACGGAAGGTTTCCTCTGAACACTTTCGTAATCGCAGGAGGCCAATCAAAATGTCTTGATCTGGGTCTTCGTATGATAAGAATGTTTCCCAGCCACCATTTGCAACATAATCTCTCCTTACCAACTCAACCTGTTAAATAAAACAACAACAACACAAAATCAACAAACAAAACCACATTTTTTAAAAATTAGAGAACAAAGTTCATTTTTATAAATATATGTATTTACTTAGACTAATATCCACAATTAAGGATAAAAAATAATCACGAGTTATTTCTTTTTACTTGTCCAATCTTGAACATCAATTAAATCAGAGTTCACTCATTGTTCATGAACTGTTTTTCCTTCTGGTGGGTGCCAGGGCCAATGATCACTAGCTGCCCAGATACCAAAAAATTATGCTTCTGAAATCTCTTGATGTTGATTCTGCATGTGGAACACTCAAGCTGCTCTACGTGTGCCACTCATGACAGAGCCCTTTCTGATGTTCCTGAACTATTATAAAAAAAGACAATTTTACAGTTTCATAAACATTTGAACTTCATTAATCTTGAGATTCTTACAAATATCTGGCTTAGTAAATGCTTCCATGCAGTTAAATCTCTGCTGCTCCATGAAGAGTCTCTAAGGTAAAATTATATACTATGCCACATGCATAGCTCTTAGGAGAACCCCTGGGCCCCAGAACTTTCAGATGCTCAATGGTTTAACTTTCTAGTTCTTCCTCCAATAAAACACTCTTTTGGGGGGAGGGGTATGTGTCAGTGTCACTTACTTGTTC